GAGAGATGCTTGTTAGTATTGGTCTGATCTTGCTTGTGTATCTATGCATGTGCATTTGCACGAGTGCTGACCGATCATGTTATCTTGCAGCTAACACAACATGTTGTATCTTTGGCTGTTTGCTTCCAGGAAAGGGAGAGTTGAGGGAGTGCCACATTTACTGCCGGCATGTTGCTGATTTACGAGTCCTGTGGCGTCTGTCAAACAACATTTACATTTTCCTCTTACGCTGTCAATGTGCTCGATGGATATTTGCCCCTCTTTTGTGCGTTTGTAAGAGAGCAGCTAGAGACATGGCGAGCCAATTCCAACTGGTCAAATACTGTGGGCAGTTGAGCATGCAGGCTGATGGAGCAGCAGCCTGCATGGCAGTATCTCCCCATGAGCTTGTCTGATGCATTATTCTATAAATAAGCAGAGATGAGAGAGCTAAAAAGGCAGACAGGGTGGTCAATAGTGGATGGGGGAAAGAGAGACAGAGAGATGGAGAGAGAGAGACCATGCCGTGTCAAGCTCCAGCTCCCCTACTGAGGGCAGAACTCCAGGATAGACTGCTCAGTGTGGACAATATGTTCCTCTTCAGTGGTGCGTTCACTGTTGTGTTTAACCCGAAAGTCACTGTCCCTGCTACAGGTTTTCCACCAGTGGTTTTGTTGGGTATTATGCCCATGCCCATGTACATTTAAATGAAGATGGATGATAAATGAAAAGAAAACTTGAATTAAGCAATTGCAGATGCTTCTATACTGAAACTGATAACTGAGTGGTAAGAATGGGATTGCCATGATTATACATGCCAAAGAAATATTGATGAACGTATTGTCCCACCAAAATATGCTTCAAAATCTTAAAATGGAAAACAATTTTAAATTACCGTCATTATATTTCATGAGGTCACCTGACTTAGATAGAAAACGAAACAAAATGGCATCATTGTGACTTTGTGAGTCTTATCTTTTCGTTTCATGATCATTTATGTCTTTTTTTTTTATCTCTACCAAGATAGCGAGCTAGACAGATTTTTCATGAGGATATTCACTACTATAATAATAAACAATAATGGAAATTCTCCATGATATGAGTGCTTGTTATAGTCTCATCCCTTAAGTCAACCCAATGGAACCACTATGGGAAAGTATGGACTCACTAGACACTATCATTCCAAATAAAGGAATGTCTTTTGGAACAATCATGTTCCTCCAGAGTTTCTCCTTGGAGAATTTATAACATGGTGAACTGAAGCTCTTCTGCTTATATTTTATTAAGAGACATTAAGTATGTTTCCCTCTAGTTTGTCTCTGTTTGTGTCAGGGGTTTCAAAAAGGAATGGAGGTGCAGTGAGAAGTGCTCTGACAAGTACATGCAAACTACGCCGAAGGGTGTTATAATGCTTTGTCTAGACAGTCAGAAGTCATTTGATTTGGCTGTGATTCAACCCCCTCCCCACCCCTCCGTCCTGCAGACACTGGGATGTCCAGTAAAGAGACAGGGTCATCAGAGCGTCTCAGTCGCTGTCGGTAGTCATTAGGCCTAAGGAAAAAGTCCAAATATATCTAGACCGGGGAACATCGACCACACAGACCTGACTGACATCTCTGAAAAGTATCCCAGATAATGGCTGAGGTATCTATTTAAACATATACCCCTGATTTCTTAAGAAGAAAATAAAGTCCATGTAAAATGGAAGATAAATATGAATATTTCCTTATTGTTTCAGTTTATATGATATTTTACTGAATATACCGCTGACAAAACATCACCATGGTATGGGTGAATCTTCTTCTCTATTTTCTGACATTTTATAGACCAAAGGATTAATCGAAAGTAAATCAACAGATTAACAGATAATGAATATAATCATTAGTTGCCCTGGAATGTAATACATTTATTTTTATCTCAGACTTAAATCATTTAAAATTATGATTTGTATAAAGCCCAGAGCTTTGAGCAGAGGCAGGGATGAGATGGACGATAAGCAGGTTTTATATTAAAAGACTATTTGTAATTACAAAGGACTACTTGGCAGGTTTTGGTGGTTTCTAAAGGCGTCCTCATCAATACTCTCTGTCATGTTGTCAGTATAAATGGCGGGTTTAATAAAAGAGAGTAAACAGAAGCAGGTCACAGGCGAGTGTGAGGGCCACTCGCAGCCCCGCTCCCCTTCCCTCCCTTTCAGTACATCTCTCGCCCTCGCATGGCATGCAAAACGTCCCTGATCCTCCCAAAAAGAAGATTAACAAAGCCCTGACAGAGAAATAATCTCTCTGAAAACATTGACTCCTACCATTTCAACATGCTGCCTCTAAACAGTGGAAAATGCCGCTCTGGTATGCTTAATTGCAGTATGTGGGACACACAGTGTTCCTTTAGGTATGCTGAATGGAAAGCCTTGGCTACTGAAGGCATTCCAACATTGTAAATGCACAACAATGGACCTTAACAGTTTTGCGCTTGGCATTGGCTTCAGAAATTCAAATAAACTTCAACAGGACATTTCCATGGGAAGGTTTGTGTTGTTTCTGACAACAGTATATTGGGTTTGGCAGATTCTAGATCATAAATGTGTTTGAACTTCAGTGTGTATGAAGAATGATTAATGCAGACTGGAGCTGCTTTCCCAATCAAGTATAATTGGTCACATGTTGCCTGTGTATGTTGCCATGAGATAATATTCCAGGCGTTTGACCTCTTACTTTTGGTCCATTTCATTTCTTATCTGTGTTCTGCCCAGGGCTTTAAACTGAGGTGCTGTTTGTACACATTTCAGTTTTGTGGCAAAAACCAGCTGTGCAGAATTTCAAGAATGTCCTCTTCATTTCTAAATATTTTTGTCAGCATTCCCATTTTAGGGAAACATGTGTGGCCTTCAGTTCATTGCACCATGTTGTCAATTTCAAATGAACTCTTTGACCACAGTGTTAAAACTGACAGAGTCAATGAATGACTAAGATCAGGGTTGAAGAGGAATTCATGTGACGCTAATGCAAAGAGCAGCTAGCCTCGATCTGGCCTTGTAAAACCTGAGCTATCCATAATAATGCTGGCAGATATGTAATGCTGGAATTTTCCATAAGGGGAACAAGCCAGCTCTGTGTCTGTCCATCCATCTCTGTGTCCATCAGTCTGTGATTATCCTGTCAGACTCTCAGTCACACACTGCTGACGCTGCTCTGTGACGCCATCCGATCATTGAAATTATTTTTAGCGTAAAGTCCAGGCACAGGAATTGGTAATCCAAGGAGTGACATCTGGCCTCCAGGGTTTATGTGATTAGCAGAGAGCCTTGCCCCTAATAGCCTAGTGGACGATCTTCCTTACCTCCCTGAACTACACGACTGGTCATCATGTGCCGTAGGCACTCAAAAAACCATTTGTTTAAGTTAATTGTTTACACATTTATCATAGTTGAGGCTTAAAAACATTTGTCAGTAAGCATGGAGGAGCTATGCTATAGCTAATGTACAACACCCTACCAAGCTTACAGTTGGCTCTCTTATGTGCAGCTTCATTAGGGTTAAGACCTGATGACCGCACCAATAACTAATAAGTCCAAGTTAGACAACAGAGGGCCAAAAACAATTCTTAAAAAAGGAAGAGGAAAATAAGTTAGGAGAGATTCAAAATAACAAATGTGGCAACGTAAAGTGGAGGGCTGCCAACTTCCTACTGAATTAATCATCATCACTACTCAAAGGGCTAAAAATGACAAAGTGACCAGGCATGTCCCCTCCTCTTCGCTTTCTGTCTGCGTAGAGAGCCTACCATTTTGGAAGTCCTTCCATCTTGGAGGTGAACGCTCCACCAATTATCTTTGAGCAAAACTTTTCCAGTTCTCAAGACGTCTATTAAACACACAAAAGCAGCAAACAAAGTTTAAAGGCTGTCTGCATGCATGGATTTCGTTAGTGTTTGTGTGCGAGCTGCGACTGAAGCGTTCTTTGATTCCTGCATCAGTTGATCAACAGCGAGTTCTAATTGCATCGGCATTGGCTAAGACAGGTGGAAGCTCTTAGTTTGTTAGCATTGAACTCATTTTGGGTTTACTGGAAACTGTTTAAACATAGCATTGCTAGACGTCTCTTATAATCTTCCTTGTGCTGTAATAATCATTTCAATGATACAAACAAGCCTGTTTGCAAAGCAAGAGATAAAGAAAGGGACTATTTTTGGCCAGTTGTTTGCTTGGAGAAGCGTTTGCTTATTCTGAGGCAGCTTGTTCCCAGGAGTTCAGAGCACAGCCTTGCTACATTTTTGTTTTGCCTTCTGCATTTGTAGCTGAGAGGGAGTTCCTTGCCCCTCTCCTGTTCTCATAGTTCCTTTAACCACATTTCTTCCTCCACCTTTTCTAAAGTGAGTAATTGTGTAGTAATAAATGCAACGGCTGGGTAGAGTAGTGTGAAAGGAAATTGCAATCATTCCTTGAGACTATTTTGTGGGACTGTTTTTGTGTATGGTTTGTGGTTGCTCTGCCCTCTCTGGAGTGTCCCATGAAAGGGTATTCTTTTAGTATTCCCTCAGCCTATTTACTCTCCTGCAGATGGGAACAGTGGGGAAATGGCATTTCCTCAACATGAACCAGTGGTTTGCATAAGCACATCTAAACCAGCTTATCTTTCTGCTACGCATTATAAATATACATACATTTATTTAAAAACAAATCAATTTACCAAGAGTTTTGATGACGCAGTATCTGATTAAAAAAATGCTTCATGAAACATAAAACAATTTAATGCCAAAGCAATGAATGCTTTGGGATATTTTGGAGGTTATTTAATGCTTAGTACTTTACTGTGATGGTAAAGAGCTCAAAAGGTTAATATGCTGACACATCAGATTCAGCGTTTATGCTTGGTGTTTTAATAACCTGCACTGACCCAAGCTGTCTTTATTTAAAGCTACTGGCTACCACTCGTGTTTCAGACACTATCAATTTCCTAACCTCTCCCTTTCATCCCTCCCTTTCCTCTCTGCCCCTCCCCTCTGCCCCCCTCTTGTTACAGGTATGGCCTCGCAAGTGCAAGTGTTCTCCCCTCACACTCTCCAATCAAGTGCCTTCTTTAGCGTGAAGAAACTGAAGGTGGAGCAGAGTTGTAACTGGGATATGACAGGGTACGGCACACACAGCAAAGTCTACAGCCACAACAGCAGCAAGAACTTGTCGGCAGCCAGTGGCCCCCTCGGCATCAACAGCTCCCTGCAGGTCGCCAGCTCCACCCTGCCCTACGAGCAGGCACTCATCTTCCCAGCCAGCGTGGGCCACATTGTGGTCGCCTCAGCAAGCAGCACTTCGGGGGCCTTGGGGTCTCTGCTGAGCAGCGGGGGTGGAGGTAGCAACAGCAGCGGCAGTGGTGGTGGAGGTGGCGGCAGTGGCGTTGGTGGCGTGGTTGCTTTTCACAACCTGACGCGCCGGAGCACGGTCAGTCTTCTTGACACCTACCAGCGATGCGGGCTTAAACGCAAAAGTGAGGAGCTTGACAACAACAGCAGTGTGCAGATCATTGAGGAGCACGGCCGATCGATGATCCAGAACGGAGCAGCCAGTGGAGCCACGGTGGCCACAGTGGCCACCGCCACCTCCACTGCAACGTCCAAGAACAGCGGCTCCAACAGCGAGGGGGACTACCAGCTGGTGCAGCATGAGGTTCTCTGCTCCATGACCAACACCTACGAAGTGCTGGAGTTCTTGGGGCGAGGAACCTTTGGACAGGTGGTTAAGTGCTGGAAGAGGGGCACCAACGAGATTGTGGCGATCAAGATCTTGAAAAATCACCCGTCGTATGCACGGCAGGGTCAGATCGAGGTCAGCATCCTGGCGCGTCTCAGCACGGAGAATGCGGATGACTACAACTTTGTTAGGGCCTACGAGTGCTTCCAGCACAAGAACCACACGTGCCTGGTATTCGAGATGCTGGAGCAGAACCTGTACGACTTCCTCAAGCAGAACAAGTTCAGCCCTCTGCCGCTCAAATACATCAGACCCGTGCTACAGCAGGTGGCCACAGCGCTAATGAAACTAAAGAGCCTGGGCCTGATCCACGCTGACCTGAAGCCAGAGAACATCATGCTGGTGGACCCGTCTCGACAGCCCTATCGGGTCAAAGTCATTGACTTTGGCTCCGCCAGCCATGTGTCAAAAGCAGTCTGCTCCACTTATCTACAGTCCAGATACTACAGGTAAGAGCTGGAACTTTGGCATTTGAATTATTTTTGTTATGAAATGGATTTGAAAGAAATTAGGCATTTATGTAACATTGCAGATGCAAAGAGGAAATGGCTTGAAGAAAGACATGTCCTGTTGTTTGTTCCTGTTCCTGTCCGTTCTGTTTGGATGATTATTGTGCTTTCTGCATCTTGTTTGATTTGTCCCAGCTTTAATAGGAATGTCTTCCTAGCTGAGATGATTATTTGGCCAAACACCCATGTGATATTTTGCCAACCTTATGAGCTGCTGCTGAAGTTCTCTCTCACTCTTTGCTTGTTACTCTTGTTGTTAACTCCCCTTCCAGTGTGGGATAACATAGTAAAACTCAGAGGCTTGCTGAGTAAACAGCTGCTTTTTTCATTTAATGTGATAAAACATGTTGCAGTGTTACTTAAAAAAGTTAAAAACCTCTTCAGTTCTTCCAAAACTTGGTGAAACTGGTCAAGACGAGACAGACCGTTAGAAATATTTGAAGAAATAACTTTGGTCTCTTTGAGAGGTTCATGGGAAAAAAGTAGTTTTCCCTATTTTTGGAAGGTGTTTGAAAAGATTTCAGAGAAACTCCCTCATTGAAGAACGGCACCAATCGTGAGGTGGCAGCCTGCCCACAGGCATTTATTCACCCCTCTGCTCCCCAGGCCCCCATACCCTCAGCCCCCCATCACCATCACGGGCTCCCATTTCCCCAGGGATAGAGATGAGGGGTCAGCCTGAGTTCTCCGGTAATATGTGCCTGTAATCCACACCAGCGGGCCCTGCATTAGAACCAGATGAGTCTTCCTGGGTAGGCCCTTTCCTTTCTTCTTCACAGTACTTCTTAAACAGTATTTTTTCGCCCATAGCAAACAGTGTGTTTAGGTTTTAGCGGAGGCAGCGTCAGGGGAACTGTGCGAGGAATCAAACAGTGTCCATATCCGTACAGAGAGGAGCTTTGTTTGGGGCTCAGGCCCGGTGCTGGGGGCCGAGCCAAAGGGAAGAACAGGTGTGTGTGAACCGTGGTTTTGTAATCTTTGTGGATAGACTTTTATCATATCTGACAGGTGTATTACTTTATATGAGCTATAGTGTTTATTAAACTGGACTTTATAAACACTTCTCCCAGACTGTCTCTTAAATCCACAATATATTAGGATCCCTGTATGGGAATTTGATCGTCTACAGGGCACTGCTGTTATATCAGTTTAAGAAGCTCATCCTGAAGTGAACACCTCTAGTAGCCGGTTGTTGGTGCCCCTGGGCTTTGGGTCAACAAGCAGGCCATAAAATGTTCTTGTTTGTTTTCTCGGGGAGTGACGAGTGGAGGAGAGTGGAGAGATCATCCCTTCATTTCCTCTTGGCAGCAGAAGAGGGGAAAGAAGGCTGAGATTGACCAGAACAATTACCCATCAGCTACCAAAACCAAAACCAGCGCCTTGGTGAACCTAGTTTGAAGCAATGGGAGTGGTGTTTGTGTGTCACATGGTTTGTAGTGTGTGTTGTCTCATTGTGAGGAATGAGGCAAGTCTTACAATTTAAGGAGTTAGCTCATGGGAGATGAGCACTACGGGTGTCCTAGCATTGCATGCCGTTTGGGCAGCAAACAAACTCCAACTGCGGGTAGAGTTCATGGTGAGTTCAAAAGCTTAGAGGAGAACATCAAACCATCTTTGATGACTTCAGAGGAGATGATTGCGTGATAGTTTCTCTTTCTGTTGTGCAGACAGTACCTGTACAGGGTACAGATTACATACAGGTGGGATTTGCCAGCTCCAACTTGCTGGCTCTGTGTTACTCTATAGCCTTTACAAAAGCAAAAACATCCCCCTGTCGTCTTTTTTGATATACCGGTTTTTTGTTGATGAGGAAGAAATAAGATAAGAGATAAGGAGGAATCCTCAGAGAAATCTGTCCCACTTTTTTCAAATATATGAGAGTGAAGAGTATTTCGAGCCCATTTCAGACATTATACAAACAGAGCCATTAACACTTGCATTTGCCTCATACATGGCTGTTTGGCTTTCATATGCCAAAGAAAGCATTGCATGTGCTGTAAGAGCCTTGTAAATGACTTATGGATTTTCCACAAGGTTGACTCGTGCAAATAAAACACTAGCGTTCAAGGTAAACAAGTGATGTGCAATTTGCAAGAACAGCTCTCAGGGTGCTTAGAGTTTCAACTTTGTTCGCTTCAGTGCTTAGTGAATACAGGCTAATGTATCTGAGCTCATCTATCATTGTCAAACAGGCCTGTCTGTGGCACTTATTCACTCAGTGCTACTGTACTTCAATACAGTCTACTATCGTTAAAATACATTATAACCATAAACTCTGTGTTCTTAATTATTGTGTAGATTGTACTTCCTCATCTCAGTAAATTGTGACCTTAACCTGGTCCTCCTGCATGTATCCTCCTTTCCTCTCCTACTACCCTTCCTCCCTCTAGCCTTTAGCCTCTGACGTAACAGGTAAGCCAGCTAGTCAAGCTTACCCTTTGCCAGATAAAGGGATTATTGTCTTGTCCCAATTGGGCGTGTTTGTCCTATTTATCTCATCATCGAAAGACCATGGGATGGGGGGGATGCAGCAATCATTTTTAAGTTTGTCTAGATTTTCCTGAGGCAATGCAGCTGGCAGGAGCTGGCCGTGTAGTGGAAGGATGTTAAGAGGAAGACACTTTTCCCCTTGTTATTTAGGTGTTGCCAAAGGCTGCTCTGTTTTCATGCCTTTAAGTATATCCAGTGGAGGTTTGCATGGATCTGAAGCTGGTTCATTGCTGCTTCTTAAGCACAAATACCATTCCCACATTTGAAACTCAAGCCGGTATACTCAATGGAAATAACTCAAACTCTTCATAACAGACACTCAAATTACATTTAAGGGGTCAGTATTCCTCAACTTAAAATCTTGAAATGTAGGGGTTTTACATCTGGTTTCTGTAACGTTAGGAAACCGTAAATCTGCCAATCACACCCACTACGTGCAGCGACTGACGAAGGTGAGAATGAATGCAGTGTTTCGTTCTCAAGCTCTCTTTTCATTCTTACTTTTTGTATGCACGAATAAGTGCAACACTATGACCAGCTTTCTGGAGTGACTGTCTGAAAGCCTTTATCCCAGTATTTAGAGCAAATATCGTTTGCGTCTAGCCCCTCTCTTTGTACCCCACCTTTGAGTTTGTCCGTTCAAACGGCTGTAAACTTCTTGCTTTTTCTTTTCCGTACCCATCAGAATGGGTTCCTTGTCGTGGCAGTTTTACAGAGGCTTGCTTAATGGCCACAAGACAGAGGGAAAGAGATAGAGACAGAGCAATTTCCTCTAGTAATTAAACATCCTAATATTAACAACTCAGAAGCCTGAAGCTGCATTGCTCACATGTCAGCGCCTGCCACCTGCACACATCACAGACTTCATACTGCTGGAGAAACCTTCATGTTACATACAGTTGTAGAGCATGAGAATATAGCCTACTAGTCATTGTGGTTGAAAGGAAAATGAGTGTCTGAGAGGGAGGGAAAGGGCTTGTTGATGTCACCAGTGATCTGAAGTGGCCAGTACTCGCAGTGCTTATCAGTGTGAAGCAAAAGGCCTCTGGCAGAACAGATCTTAATGCATCCGGATGGAAACTTAAAAAAAAGGCTCACATTATGGAACTCACTGCACTTTTTACTTTTAGCACCTTTTTATACATGTTAGCAGTGAAAATGGGTGCAGCCAATGCTACGGTAGGATCTCTAGCACTGCCAGCCTGTATGTCGAAAGTAATAACTGATGAAATATGTATCTGCCTCCATCAGGGGTGGTGCAGTCACAGCTCGGGCTGAGTGTAAGACGAACCCCTCCCCACCCCACCTGTCTATCTGTCTCTCTATCTGTTGTTAGCGTTACACAAGCATACAGACAGGGCAGGCGTTCCAGCACATTTACCCTGCCTCCGTGCGAAACATCAAGGGGTGTTTTAATGAATGAGGTTGCTATTAGTTACTGTTCTGTGAAGCGTGTGTTAAACAGTGAGTGTGTGCGTGCTACAGAGGAAGAGAAAGGTGGGTAAACGGCAGTATCAGGTTGCCACAGAGGAAAGATGGATTAGAACAGGGCAGAAAGGCAGATTCGCTTTGTGGCAGCGGCGGTGTTAATAGTGCAGGTGTTGTTTATGTGAAGATCCTCGAACAAGTTTCAGGAAAGAGATTGGGAGGTAGGGTGGAGGTGGGGGGTTTGTGAAGAAGGCCCTTGTTTTGCATTCCTAACCAGCACCTGGAGCAGCGCTCTTTTTCCGCCAAGCCCTGACAGATTATTACTAATGCAGATGAGATTTCATTAGGTTCTACCTGACTGGGTGTGTGCTGTGACACAATGAGACTTATTTTGCTGACTTTCTGGTTGCTTTCATTATTTATTCTCCAGCTTGTGACCACTCATCTTGTTGTTGACAGTAGATGCTATTATCAGGAACCGGTAGTAAAAGAGAGCCCCCTAAAATGATAATTACCGCTCCCTGTATTCGCTACTGTGCTTTTTATGACAGTCATAACATCTTAGTATGCATGACAGGATCCTAATAACCTGTTTCTCATTTATAATTTGCCTCTGGGCAGCTTTTGCATGTGTCTCCGCAGAGCAGGAGACATGTAGCAGCTAAGCTAATTAACTACAGGTAGTCGAGCATATGCATCGTAATATCTACAGGAGTCAACCGCTCTAAGTCATTTGGGTAAATAATGAATGAGAATTATTTAACTCTGAAGGATAATGTGAACCTGGCCACCTAGCTGACGGATACACATATCTATACACACATGTGTGTGTGACACGTGTGTGTTTGTGCGACACTGCTAGGGTTGGAGTGTGTGCTGTACGACGAGAAGGAGCTCTCTGAGTTACCCCACATACTTGTCTTTGTTCTCCCTCGCAGTCCAATTTCCATACATTTCCCAGGATATTAAGCTGACAGAAATTAAGCTGCCTTGATAAAACGCAGCGAGACGCCCACTTAAGC